AACTAGAAACGTGAATAAGCATAATTTTCAAAAGCAAATTCGTCTGCAATTATTAAAATAGCCAGTTGACACTTTAAATTATGGGAAATTACATAGGTCCTCATGGACTCGAAAGATTGTGGATCATCCCAGGCTATTATCACAAACACTTCTATCAACTTCAGGAAATATTTTATTCAAAGTATTGTTTCCATAAACATAATTCGAAGCTTCATAAATTTTCTTGGGTTTTCCTTGAAATTTCAGCTGATTTGTAATATCTTGTCAGCCTCATTTTTTAATAAGATCACCGTCAGATATTAGTTTGCTGTAATAAGTACAAATAAGTCAGTTGTTCACACAACATAAACAAAGCCTCAATCATAATCATTTAAATATATCAAACAATAACATAACACAATCAAATATTTCAACCATTCAACTATTTGTGTCAAACAGTCATTATTATCTTCATTCATCAAATTATGTCATAGTCAGTCATCCTGGTTGCTCGTCAACTAATCCCCACCTGACAAGCGGATGAGAATCAAATGAATTCATACATAATTCAATTATTGTGTTCCCGAATGTGATTTGTTGATCAATGGTAAATACTCTAATTGTTTGTTGAAAAAGTTGAAATGTGTGATTGAAATGAGTTGAGAGCGTTTCAATGTTTGTCGAAATGTATGCATATAAACAGTGAGGATTATAAGAGGTCAGATTGAGATTGGTAATTTGTTGAGATAACAACTTGTCAACTAAATCCTTGATAAACCACAATTTCACTTTGATATCACATTTTGTTCGTAGTCATATATTCTTGTATTTGTAATCTTCTAAAATTTGTCCTCTATCATTTGTTTGTTTGTTTATCTGAATGAAATGTACTTTATTGTTGTACATCCGACATGACATTTATTATACTTTGCCTAATAACTGAATTGACTAATTTATTCATGTAATCAGTGGACTAAAATAGTGTTTACTGTTTTAGTTGTCGTTCGCTTCTTTCACACCCAAATGCCCTGGTACGCTGAGAGGTGAGGAGAGGCCGAATTCATTTTTCACACACCAGTTTACATCAATGTTCAGGCAGACTCTTCTAGACTTCAGAATTGTTTAAATATTTTCACTGAGCGCTTACTAAAGCTATGGTGACCAAAGTTGAATAGTTAACGAACGTTCTTAGTGCATAAACATCAAATTTCAGATACCTGTCTAGAAATTCACTGTCCTGTGGTATTTTGAGCACAATATTTCATATAACAAAATCCCAATGATCATGTTAATTCAATAAACAGTCTAACTTCGGGTTGGATATTTTTTGGTCGCTATATTGGTTTCAATGTCATTGATAAAAATAATTTCGCTCTAAAGTATACAGTATATTCTCTTGTTAATAATTCAAACTAAAGAGAATTCCTGACAATCATTCTTCTTGATTAATAGTTACCGAATTGAGTTTACTCCATAATGTCATGTTTATTACCTTCTAAACTCTTTCTATATTGAAAGATTTTGTTTGAAGAAATCGAACCTAGAACGAACAGAACAAAATCACTTCATAATTTAAAACATTAATGTTATTAAATTATGTATGTTTAATTGTCAACGTAATTGTCTGATGTAGGTTGGCTATCTAACAAAATTTCAGCTAATCTAATAAACTTGAATGGAAAGAATGACCATGAATAGAGAAAGAAACAATAACATATACAGACAGAAATAACTATCACTTTGAATATGATTAATGGTGAGTCTAATTTTAGAATATTTGTTAGAGTTAATTAATATTTATTATACCATAGTTTTATATCACAAAGTAATCTTAATTAAACAACCAGTAAAGACAAGAAACCACTGAACAACTGTTTTATCATTGTAAGGGACTCTTCAACATAGCTCATATGTGACCTCGTTATTGGGGATCGGACCCAAGATCACAAGGTCTCACAGTTAGTATATAATCCTTGGACCACTGGGCCGACATCCTATGATGCGAACTATGAAATTCATTCATCTTTGGAGACTCCATGTAATAATATTAATTATTGCATGAATAAAGTATATCATTTATTAATCTACTAATCTATCTACAAGTACTCTCCGTTCGTAAACAATAATCAATAAATGAAAAATAATAAATTCTCCACAAAACCCCTCCTGATGTAAAAGAATAAAGACAATTATTAATCATATTCTACCCTCTCAAAAACTACTTACAGGAATTATAATCAGTATTATGTCAGTGTAGTGAATATGGCCCTCTCATGTTAATGTAATTAATATTCAAGTTCATTCTTTTACAAGTAGTTTCCGTTGATTTATTGTACATTTTACAAAATATTTCACTGACCTAACTTTTACTTAAAGGTACACAGCACGGTAAAGTCTAGTATCTTGAATTCCTACTCCCAAGGTCAGAAATTACGTTTCAAGGTAGTCAACTACAATTATATCTGTTATGACTTGAGTATTGTTGGTCGTTACCACGTAGTATATTACTTAGTTAGGATTCTGACTACCTATTAGTTCACCCATATTGCCTGTAGGACGGGTGACCTTTTGAGTGTCAGCTAATACATTGACCAATAAGTAACATATAAGGCCATCTCACTTATTGATCCTCTAGCCCCTTCCAACTCACTAGCCAGTCGGAAGACGAAGATGGGAAGTAGACTATTTCTCTGTTGTACTCAGTCCAATCACATAAGTCAAACTTATACAATAATATACTTGAAATATCTAACCACACAACACACAAAATGAGGCAGCACAATTTAGACACAATTTTATCATAAATAATATAGGCTGGAGCCAACGATGTATAATTAATCAGCAATAACTAAGAAATAGTAAAACACATAAAATTAATCAATAGATTCATTGGAAGTTTGCGATAAGAGGAACATAAAAATGCAACAACACAGTTATTTACTATTGATACGATAGAAATACATACAATGACCATAATATTCCGGTAAATAACTTCGAAAGGTCCAACTTTTCCAATATTCGTCTCGTTGTAGCAATAAATGATGATGTATATTGTTGACAAATTCCATAGTCTAAGAAGTTAGATAACTATATACAAACAAAACCAAAGAAATCAATAAATTGAGTACAATCAACAAATGAATATTGTATGAAGCGAACGACAACTAAAACAGTAAACACTATTTTAGTCCACTGATTACATGAATAAATTAGTCAATTCAGTTATTAGGCAAAGTATAATAAATGTCATGTCGGATGTACAACAATAAAGTACATTTCATTCAGATAAACAAACAAACAAATGATAGAGGACAAATTTTAGAAGATTACAAATACAAGAATATATGACTACGAACAAAATGTGATATCAAAGTGAAATTGTGGTTTATCAAGGATTTAGTTGACAAGTTGTTATCTCAACAAATTACCAATCTCAATCTGACCTCTTATAATCCTCACTGTTTATATGCATACATTTCGACAAACATTGAAACGCTCTCAACTCATTTCAATCACACATTTCAACTTTTTCAACAAACAATTAGAGTATTTACCATTGATCAACAAATCACATTCGGGAACACAATAATTGAATTATGTATGAATTCATTTGATTCTCATCCGCTTGTCAGGTGGGGATTAGTTGACGAGCAACCAGGATGACTGACTATGACATAATTTGATGAATGAAGATAATAATGACTGTTTGACACAAATAGTTGAATGGTTGGAATATTTGATCGTAAACTATTAATTTATCAGTTATACATTTTGTAGTAAAATTACTCTTACGAATAATTTAGTATATTCTTTTGTTCGTTCAAAACCAAAGTTATATTATATCATTTTGTACCTTATAGACATTACACATAGATTTGTCATAGTTGAAAGCATGAGTCAATTGAAGCAAGACCACCATGAAAAACCTGGAAGCACTGGACAACCGTCTCGTCCTATCGTGGGACTTCTCAGCAGTGCGCAACCACGATATCGCCTCGCGAGATTCGAACCCGGGACCTACCTGTCTCGAGCCAGAGCACTTGACGGATAGACCACTGAGATGGCCGGCATCCGATGGTGTTAATGTCTAACTTCAACTAATCCACGAAGTTGAGCAACCGTTCGCCAATTATCTCCAGGGAGTTCCTATCTCACAACAGACGTGGTTGAACTCCACTGGTTACTTCTTACTAGAACTCCAGGAATTATCTCTTGAAGTAAATCACATAGATTTGTGACATCATTTTCACTGTGGGACCTAATTTTATTAGTTAGTTTTATTATCATTGTAATTTGTATTTATTCCTTTAAGCAATAAACTTTTGTATTTAGTTCACTGTTATCACAAGTTTTCAAAACTCATGGTTTTATGATACTTGGATGGCGCTACTTTTTCCAATCTGGTAGTTGTAAGAGAAATTTCGAGTTTGTAAAGTTGGTTTTTCAAACTATTATTATAGACCAAATTATACTTGTACACAGTTTTTATTACCACAGTTTCAAAATTTCACATGAATAAATGTTCTTCATTGGTAGCTAAGTTTTTTTCAGGGTAGTATTAACTGAGATTTTTATAGTTTCGAAATGATGAAACAGAAGACGACTCCGTAGCTTCTAAATATATAGATGCTAGATAATGTTTTCCTCTGTATCGACATTTATTAAAAATAGTCAGTATTACGACTAAGGAAAAAAGTAAATCAATACGTAATAAAACATCTTATTGATTGATATAGCCAAAAAGTTAAACTATCACGTAAGTAGTAAAATAAATGCTTTCCATATCATACCATGTATTTTAGGTACCTACTTTAGAATGGGGGATACAATGATTTAAACGATAGTCACTCAACACTACGGTTTAAAGATGGAAGTCACCTTCATTAACTTCTATTTCGACATCGAAATAGAACCGTCATCTCTTATATAAACGGTATGATTCGAAATCATAAACATAAACATCTAATATACATAGTATATAATTTACTCAAACTTCAATTTTTGAAGTTAAAAAAAAGTATCTATGAATGTAGGATAAACATACTTCCATGGATTTACTTTACGTTGTAAGATCTTCAGTTGCATGCCTATTTCTGGTTTGTCACTGATATATTACAACATCTCAGTTGATAAAACAATGGAGACCTTTGTATTGTCAGAAAGTAACCGTGACGGTAAAGTAATCCTCCTATTGTTCGCCTAATTGTCCCTCTCTAAACGGCTCCATACATTGACAAAATGATCAGTAAAAGAGTTTGACAGTATACCACTTTATGATAAATATATGGATGGAGACTGTAAGCATGTTGATATGGTGAGCGAGAATTTTTAATTGTTAGAGTATTTGTCAGTGGTTTACGAAAATAATTCTTTTTCCAGTTGTCTATGACATTTAGTCAGAATTTTAGGGGTAATTAGATTAATTGTATCCTTTGATTAGAAAGGATTAGTTTTATGACATTGTAAATCTATATTATTCCAGTAAATTATTGATTAATTTATGTCAATTATTACTCAGTTTAATTTATGTACGTTTGCCTGTCTACTAGTGCAAACAAAACGTACTAAAAATAAGTGTATTTTCGAGATGATTTTGATCAAATTTGGGTGTAAAACAAATCTTCATCTACAGTCTTTAGGTTATTACTTGTGCTGTGTGATTCACGATTTCCAGTAGCATCAGTTATATGAAATTATTTTAGCCAATAAAAATATTCATCTGAACCAGTTTCATCTTATTATTCGCTTGCTACAAATCATGGAGGTCCCCTGTTCATAGTAAATAAATGTGGGCTACTAGTTTTTATTCATAAGTATCGCCAAATTATTTCTGGAGTATCGTGAAACTGTCAAGTAAGCACTGTTGAGGTTAGACATAGGGTACTAAGGAAAGATGTCGTATTGGTTGATGAGACTGTGAATCCTCACTAATTTAAGTGGTTGGAATAAGTACTATATATGCTCAACCGCTGCCTATCCAAGTTGGCTCAGAATTAATTTGGAAGGAAGCTAGTGGCAGCTAAATAAATACTTGGCATCAGACCATAAAGTCACTCACCGTTGGTCTGGCCATGTTGGTATGTGTGGATCACCTCATTAAGACAAGCGCGATAACCCCGATCAGTGGCTGAAGATGTTAGGAGATATGGCTCAGAATCATTTACAATGAATCAGGTTCATTTCCCCTTCATCTTCCTTTCAACCTTCGATTCCAATATACTTTCATATATACTTATCCATCGTCCTTCTGAAATATATTCTCAATGTTCAATCTTTCTTATTGTCATTTCTACTACATTGTATAGAACTCTTTTGCAATCCAACTTGTTAATTTCATCACGTCGTGCTAACACGGTATGACAACTTGGGCCAACCCAAATTAGTTTTAGGCTCTACATTGATGATAAGTGAGTGATAACGGCTTACAAGACTGGATCGGCTAGTACAGTAAATTTATTAAGTATCCCCAGTTAAATAACAAATAAGAAAACCAAACAACTGACTACGTTATCATAATTTTGTTCTTCTCTTATCATATGTACAAAAGTATAAGACAGAATGAACATGCCTGAAAATTAAATACATTATAGCCGGTTGACATGCGATGAAATATCTGAAGATTAATGAAAATCAAATGAATTCAAGATTATCAAATAATATTTTGCACATTATAACAGAATACTGCAGTTAGTTCCCAATAACTGAATTTGATATATGTAAATCACTTGTGATTTTATTTACATAATAACATATGACTAGAAGTTTATGCTTTAAATCATCTTTAGGAAAAGTTAAATGAAGCTAGAAACAGTTCGACCTACCAATCATATATATTACTCTACATATTTCAAATTAATATTTAAGAGTAAATTTTACGGTATATCAAGTAATTTTGAATAATATTGAAAATTTAGTAAATCCAGGTAACTATTAAAAAGCTGTTGAGCTGATTAGTAATTATGCTGAACGATTTCTTAATCAATGTATCCATATATCTGAAAAAATGTGAGGTATATGTCATCATGTTAGAAATATAAATGCATACACAAATATTGAAGTAAACTTCATTAAATTATGTGATAGAGAATATTATGTTGAAAATCTTGTAATCTCCAAGGGGAAATCCATAAAAAGTATCCTATACAAAGAAAACTTGCTCCATTAGGTCATCTTTTGTACATAAGAGAGAAAGGTAGAATTAAGGAAGCTTAGTTTTGTAGTCATAAGAAAGGCATTATTGAATTCTCAATGGTTTCTTAAAAAATTTCTGACCATCAAACCATTAATTCCGATTGACTAATATGATGATAATCGGCCTTGTTCTTTTGTTGAATTGGCATTGAATACCTTGAAACAATAATTGCCTGGATCTACAACAAGAAGTTTATTGGATACTTGATGCAGCGCCAAACCTTGAGGACCACTTAATGTCTCCAGTTTGCTGTCAATCATACGCAAATAGTTTCCAGTTTGATCAAATACCTGAAAGCATATATTACTTTAATCATTAATACAAACCAATAAATTTTTGTAAGTAGTATGTTTGTTACTACATATATAGAATTTATTTACTAATTTGGAGTATCGTACAATTTCGTATGATAGGAACTTTATCAACTTCTTTTGCCTTATGGATAATAACGCATGATATGCTGGTTACTTTTAATCTCATCTAAGAACTATCACTATCGCATAAATATGCTTATCAACTGTGGTGAAACATTATTAATAATTTCGAGTTAAGATACATAACCTTTAATAAATGCATATAAATTAGTCAGACTTAGTAAAGTAAATCATCATCTATCTCTTTATCTGTATTATGTATCATCCTTATACAAGTCTAATCTCAAGTTAAGATTTTATAGTAAACAGGAAATGTTTCACAATCGGAACATCTTATAAAATTGTATCTAGGTTCATTATTTTACTGTATTAAATGGCTAAATATTTAAAATCTGAACATCTAGTTTCACTTGTCTACAATTAAATATTCATTTAATCTGGAAGCAATTACTATCTTTACATTAGACTGTTTTAATCGATTATTTTGTTAAAAATGTATCCATATTTTTTTTTTAAAAAAAAGCGCCTTTAAGAAAAAATTAAATGTGATATTATGATTACATTTTTCACTTGTCTGAAGTAGAATTTATTATGACACTTTCTAAATCAATATATAATCACCGATTTGTGTCTCCAAGGTATGAAAATCAATGGTGAATATATAAAAGTATTTTTTTTATACAAGAAGACTTATTATTATTTGCTTCCTTCATTCATATTTTATATACAGTAACTGATACTATCCAGATGTCAAATGACTAACAATTAGGTATCAAAGATACCGTTTTTCAACCTTCTTTTCTAAGAGAAAACCTAATAGCAGTTCATTACATACAGATGTAGTTTACGTTTATTATCTTTTCAGCATAATTTTGAAACATTGCATAAATTTGAGGTTGTACATTGTTTAAGATTCAAAATGTATTAAAATTTTCTTTACATAGATAATATTTGACTTTCAAATAATTATACCCAGTAGATATGAAAACATTTTAGTCTCTTTATTCAACTTCATTATCTAAAACATTGAGTAAACAGTTAAAAAATATCACAAGGGGGATTTTGTGGAGATTTTAGTAATTTTATATAGTTAAGATAATGAGTCAATTGAAGCTAGACCACCGTGGAAAACCTGGAAGCACTGGACGACCGTTTCATTCTATTGTGGGACACCTCAGCAGTGCGCATCCACGGTCCTACCTCACTTTAATGGACTCATGATTTCAATTATATAAAAAATAATAATAAAAGAAGTGAAATCAAGAATTAACTTTTACAAATCTATTTTATTTTATTCATTCATTTGATATAGTACTTAAATTAATTCAAATGATAATAATAGAATAAATGAAAAAAAATAATCTACAAATGATTTTATCATTTTCATTATTATTATAGATGATGAGTCCCACAATAGGATGAAACGGTCGTCCACTACTTCCAGGTTTTCCACGGTGATCTAGCTTCAATTGGCTAATGATCTTAACTATATAAAATTACTAAAATCTCCACAAAACCCCCCTGCGATGATGATCATATGCTCACTAGTGGCTGGCTCCATGAGGTAATTCCTGGAGTTCTAGTTAGAATTCGTGACCAGTGGGGCTGATCCATGTCAGTTAGAGACAGTATCTACCTCAGTACAATGGAAGTTGGTTGCACAATTTCGTGGATTGGTTAAGGTTGGACATTAACACCGTTGGATGCCGGCCATCTCAGTGGTCTATCGGTTAAGTGCTCTGGTGCGAGACTGGTAGGTCCTGGATTCGAATCCCGCGAGGCGGGATCGTTAATGCGCACTGCTGAGGATTCCCACAATAGGACGAAACGGCCATCCGGTGCTTCCAGGTTTTCCATGGTGTTCTAGCTTCAATTGACTCATGATCTGAACTATGTAAAGTTGAAAAATAAATAACTATACGTATTTCAGTACGATATTAGGCCAGTAAAATCAATATACGACGACACTTTTGTCTTCAGATTGTAACAAATTTATGCCTGTAAGTTAGACAGAAGACTGTCTGTTGTTGCCTAAAAGTTTATAATTTTTCAACTGAACTAATAACAACTGTAAACTAATCGAATTCACAGCTTTATAACACCTATATATTTTATTTATAGTTGGAAATTTATAGGTAAACAAACGTTTATATTTTAGAATCTAACTCAAAACTTTAATATCAAGGCCTTACATAAAGTTAACTTTATCAATAATTATTGTAAAAGCTATCAACTGGCGTTTTCTTTTTACATACAATTATCATAATGTCCAGATAAAGTCAGAAGATATGAATGAATTTCATTTATTATCATACTAACCTGTACTCGATTGTTCCCCCAGTCACTGATAAAAATACGGTCAAATCGATCAAATCCAATACCTGTTGGAGCATGTAACATGCCCGGATCAATTCCGTTCACTCCAAATTTATATAAAAATAATCCATTTACATCAAATACTTTAATAGAATGATGTACATGATCTGAGACAAATATTTCATCTCGTGAATTGACAGCTATAAATATTGGATTGCCAAAATGATTATCAGCTAGACCACGTGCACCGAAGCGATTGATAAACTTTCCAGTTGGCTTAAAAATACAAATCATACAAGATTTTTGATCGACTACCAGAATACGTCCACGACTGTCTACAACCATACCCTTAGGACCAGAGAGGTAACGTTGGCCAAACCTAGACATATAGTGTCCACTTGTATTGTATACTGTCACACAATGCAAATCATAATCTGAAACTAGATAATTTCCATTGATTGTTTCTGCTACATCGACTGGTCGCATTAACTGACCAGGGTGATATCCATACTCTCCAAAACGAAAGATAAATTGACCTTGAAGTGTAAATACCTATGTAAAGCAAATACACAGTAATATTAAAAATTATATAACGTATTAAATGAATATTTTAGCAAACAAATGGTCATCAGTGAGCAATGGTGAATATTTTAAATATAAGTGGGTTAGCAATATTGCTAGAATCTTGTATAATAGTCAATCAAACAGTTAAATCAAAACACAAGTAGGAGCGTCCTCTCAATAATCCAGATGATTCAGTTATCAATTGATGAAAACTACCTGTTAGAATCAATGTTTTACTAAAACATAACTACCAGATTTTTCTATTTCCCATTCCTTCTCACTTCTTTCTAATAAACGCAATGACTTGAATATAATTTCTATCATTCATCCATTGAAAACTATGAAATACCAAAGAGGTGTATTGTTCTGGTCTGAGAATTTTATGTGTTGAGCACTCATGACCCTGCAAGTGATCAAAAGTAGGGCATTCAGCTCTCACGAACTAAACATTGGAATTAGGTAGTCCACAATTCCACATTTTTATTCATATACACTCACTTTGTGTTGACTGAATTCGGTTATTAGTTTATTTTTAGAAAAGGCGAACTTCACTAAACCATAAGAAACGAACTTCTCATCAAGATATTTAAAACATATTATTTCATTGTCATACACCTCTTAGTTTAATTATAAATTATAATATCTTATGGATGATGTTGTGATCAATTGTTCATGTTTTAAAAAAAAAAAAAACTGTCTATGATATATGCCGTAACAATGAATTCTGAAAGTTTGAATTCGATGATGAGAGGAGGGATAAGTTTGTGCAATATTGTGGATATGCTTTGCTAACAATTCCTAATTAGTATGAAATTTACATCAATAGCTTCCTGTCGATTGCCTCTAATCACTGAATATCAATATAAAATTTAAACGCTTTTTAAAAAAGCATAACTTTGCAAATAACTTATGCAGGTTTAGTGAATATATAAACTATGTTATTCTTTGAACTTATATTTGACAGATAAATGTTTTTGTATATTTTGACACTGAACAAGTTATCATGCAAAACTGTTTATAACTAGGTATAAATAACAAACATTAAGATCTCTTTTGAAGGTAATTATTACACATACACCTTAACATTACAACTATTAAATTAGTTACCAATGAATTTCATGAATCAAACAATTATGTATAATGTACTTCTAAATTTATTTGAAATATGATTGATATATTACATGTATATATGATTCATACCAAAAACCCAGTTACAAACAGTCTATCATTAGAGATTGTTCAGTAGTAAAGTAAACTGACTATTTGGTTGTAAATATATCTGATATGATACATTAATATTATCATTATTATTTCTTCTAGCCATTTGTCTGTTACTTTTACGATTAGACTATCCCTAACTTTTTTTTTTTTTTTTCTAATTTAATTAAAAGTATTCATCCATGAATAGATATAATAATCACCCTTTTTTTTCACACTTAACTATCTATCATGAGATTGACATAAATTATCATAAAAATCTCATTTATAATTAGTTAAATGTAAGATTTATAGGCATCATAAAAATAAATTTTAGATAAGAAATGATTATCAAATGGTTTATTACCTTGAATATAACATATATATATATATATAGAATATATGTCATTTTGAAATAGTAGACTATCAGTAGTAATTATGATCGTAAAACTAATAATAATAGTAGTAGAATGCATCAAGTACCATATCAACTGAATGAATGAAAAAAAAACTCAATAAAAATATTCAATTTAGGAATAAATTTTAAAAAAAATCCTCATTTATTATTAAATTAAAAATATAAATATCAGAAGGGGGGTTTTGTGGAGATTTTAAGTAATTTTTTTTTTATATATATAGTTGGAATCATGAGTCAATTGAAGCTAGACCATCGTGGTAAACCTGAAAGCACTGGACAACCGTTTCGTCCTCAGTAGTGCGCATCCACGATCCCGTCTTACTTTAATAGATTCATGAATTCAACTATATATATTCTGAAAATAATTAATTACAGAATTCACACCAGTTAACCGGGATGATCAATTTGATATAAATAGCAATATTAAATGTAGAGAACAAACATGTGATATAAGATTGTTTTAAGTTTGCTAGTTTAGTGATTGTTAAGTAGTTTATTTATGACATGTATCGCGGCAATCCAATGCATCTTCAGTGAACTTTCAATTTTTTTCTTAAAAAGATAGCCTGATGATTTATGAACGGTGTTCTTTAAGGTTATTTCCGGTGCCAAATAATAATAATAAAAGAAGTGAAACTCAGAGTTAACTTTTTCAAATCTATTTTATTTTATTCATTCATATGACTTAGTACGTAAATTAATTCAAACGATAATATAGAGTTGAGATCATGAGCCAATTGAAGCTAGACCACCATGGAAAACCTGGATGCACCGGACGGCCGTTTCATCTTATTGTGGGACTCCTCAGCAATGAGCATCCACGATCCCGCCTCATGAGATTCGAACCCAGGACCTACCAGTCTCGCGATAGAGCACTTAACCGATAGACCATTGAGATGGCCGGCATCCAACGGTGTTAATGTCTAACTTCAACCAATCCATGAAAATGAGCAACCATTCACCAATGTCTTCAGTGAGTTGATATCTCCCAACAGACCTGGTTGAACTTCTTGGGTTAATGCTTCTCACTAGAACTCCAGGAAATATCTCATGGAGCCAGTGACTAGTGAGCATATGATCATTGTAACAAGGGGGTCGTGGATTTGCACTGCTGAAGAGTCCCACAATAGAACGAAACGGTCGTCCAGTGCTTCCAGGTTTTCCATGGTGGTCTAGCTTCAATTGACTCATGATCTCAACTCTATAAAATTACTAAAATCTCCACAAAACCCTTTCTCAAATGATGATAATAATAAGATAAATAAACAAAATAATCTACAAATGATTTTATGATTTTCATGATTATTATAGATGATGTTTTACGTTTTTTTTAGAAAAAGAAAAAAAGTATATACATAGATACGACTATTTTTCCAGATATATTATATCATCAATTTATTGGTGAAAATATTCCATTCAAATTATTGTAACGAATATTTTCAACAACAACAACAAAAAATCTGTTCTCATATTTTAATTTAATTTTTATTGTTTGGATTATTTTGTTATTGATATTTCGACTAAATTTTGATTCGTTTTAGTTGACATTACTTACATCCTATACAGGTTGTCTCAATCAAAAGTTATAGTGTTAGGGTTTATACAGAATTGAGTTTAGGAGCCTGAATTGAATATCATCTATAGGATGAAAGTATATTCTATTCGATGAAGATGATATGGGAATTCTGGATTTCACTGTTAGTTATATTCTATTTATTCTACGTGAAAATTCTCTTATTTATTTTATTAAGTAAGTATAGATAACATGAAAAGTGTATCAGTTTTATTTATACAAGTATGTTCATTGTATAATTTTACCTAAAACCTTCAGTATTCACTGTCATTAAGATTGATTTTGAGAGAAAACAGAATAATGTATGTGTTATATCCCGTGGAGATTTACGAATGGTAACTTTGAGAACTATTTATGAACCAATATGATATGTATATTTCCTTTTCTTTAATTGTCAAGTAACTAAAGTATCCATATTGGTGTCCCTCTTGTTATAAGCTTTATTTTGATCTATAGACTATTATTATACGATTCACCATTTTTCAGTTATCCCTAGTCCATTAATTACTGTTCCCCCTATTCACAGCCACATTTGACCAAATCTTGTACAAATGTTATTTTCTATTTTATGGTATGATGTGGTCAGTTTGTTTGGTATATAAACCCAATATGTTTGAGAATAATGATTCATATTGTAGAGGCTTTTATTGGTGTTCTGTACTTAACTGGTTGGGCTAGGTAGAAAACAGGACTGATAAGTACTCAAGACTGCTCATACGGCTTTTATGTACCATTGCTCTGACGATAATTTACTCCTCTCTTTGATTAGCGGCATCGTCACGTCAAATATTAACTGGGCACTCAGGAAATCGATATAACAGAATGGAATTCTGATAGTTATGTACTTCTCAATGAAATACCTAAATAGTTTTAGTCATGATAGTAATATGATTATATGTAACAGTCGATTCAAATTCATTTTTGGATGATGAAGTGAACCATAATTATCACTTCTATCGCTTGTCACTCACTTTTATTTTATGTCTCATTACTTTTCGATGAGCATATTTGACTTTCCTTTTTTGAATGAGCATATTTATTCCATGCTCGTGGACAAGTTATGATTTATGACTTAGAAAAAAATAAAGTCTTAAAAATCCTACAGAGGTGCTATTGGATTATTGTTGTACCATAGCAATCCTCCTGCACAGGTGGTAGTGACTGACCATAATTTTACAACCTCGAGAACTTTCTAGAATTGGTTCCCTGAAGTTTTTCTTTTTCCAAGCTTCAATACAATTACTTCTCCATATTTTAAGAATATCGGTTTCAATTAATTTACAGCATCTCCTTTGTTGAAAACTCGAACAGTGTGAGTATTGCACAGAAATGCTCATCTAATTTGTCGTTTAGATGACTGACAATTCTTCTACTTCGTAGCATAGACTACACATATATAGCTCATGGTATATACACATTTTACACCACTCACAAAATTTGGTAATGTGGCACACAACTAAAGATTGTTAACAAGTGCTATCTTATATAACTGAAATAAAGTTAAGGAAGATAATAATGAGACCTAATATTATATTCTAGAATGGATCCCTTTAGAGATTCTTTGTATTTGATGGATTATCTAAACCCAAGCAATACTAGACAATGAAATTAGTTGATGCTGGAAATGATCAGAAGTACGTACTCATAACACAGCCAGGCATTGAACACAGGACCTTTAGATTCCAAACCTTTGCTCAGCCATGTGACTGAAGCTTCTTTATGAAAATAGTTATCCAGATTACTAGTAGAAATCCTGGAGTCATTTAATTGCAATGACCGAAGTTTTTTTACAAATGTGATTTCGTTTCTAATATCTTCTATTTATTACCTAAATTTTGTGAAGTTACTCTTTCAAATTTTTACTGAACTCGATATGAGTACTAAGTTAATTTCGTTATTTTACTTAAACTCGTAATGGTTTAAAATAACATGAAATCATAGTTTAATTGATCTCATCTAATTGTTTCTAACACAAGATTTCCAGTTTAACGGCTAAATATACACGCAGACGAAAATAACCCCAGTGGGATCATTAATATCTGAATTTGTGTAATAAATAGTATCCAGAGACTGTAAACTTTAGTCTTCTCAATGACCAAACCGAAGATTTGAACACGCTATTTATACGATACCTTCATTATCATCAAAAAAGACTACATGGAGAAGATTTGCAATATGATGAACAATATTTCCAACCATATTAGTTCACATTGAAAACCGAATCAAACAACAAAGTATCATTCACAGATATATCAATCACCAGGACCAACAAAGGAAGACTCGCGGTGCAAGTATATCGAGACCCAATCCACACTGATCATATAGTCTTGACAGTTCGTGTGCATAATATGTGGTATTTTGTTTTGATACGTTAAAGATTTTTTACTACACAAGGATCATCTCTTAATAAGTCACATTATTATTATTATTATCACTATTATCATTATTATTATTCATTCCGATGGTTTAAAGACAAAGTTAAATGTAAGAAATCTTTCTTAAAAAGTGTAAATATTTTTTGTTAATACCGTCGAAAAACTGACATGGTTGTGTATCAATCGCGAGGCGGGATTGTTAATGCGCACTGCTGAGGAGTCCCACAATAGAACGAAACGGCCGTCTAGTGCTTTCGGATTTTCTACGGTGGTCTAGCTTCAATTGACCAATGATTTCAAGTATATACGAAAATCACTTAAAATCTCCACAGAAAACCCTCTTATCAAGATAATTGTAAAACGAATCAAAATGAAGGATAAATATATACACAATAGTCGACCGCAATTAATCTTAAAATTCACTTAAATACAGAATACAAAAATAATCACAGCCAATACAAATAAAAGGCTTCTTACATAAAAGTCATCAAGGTATTTTTATGAAGAATTACTTTCTGAAAAAAAAAAAACTAAATAAACTCTAGAGACAGAAAAGAGCATGGATTCAATGTTTTTTTCAAAATTAACTGTTAACTATCTGAAGATATACAACCTACGACCTATATACTGATTAATAAGTTAAACACGTCTATGAGGGTTTACATTTTCTATTTATTGACTCTACAAACTTCAATTGGTCAGTTTCTTTTGGTACAAATACATCTTGAGACGATCCCCTCAATTTTACTATCTAGTCATATTTTTTTCATAAAGTTTTGTGATGGCTAGCAGTAGAATCTAACTACAACATTTCCTCTTATCTAGTACTCATCAGCTTGATGTGCCTGAATTCTGTTCACAATAGAACTCAGACTCAATACATTTAGCTATGAACACCGACGTATTATACACTCAGCCATTTGGTTCAAATAGTCCAAATGTATAGATTGATATCAAACATATTATATTCATTTAGCAGCATATCTCCAGTTACGTTCATTTGATTACTTAAACGTTTACTAGTTATAGATTAATTTTAGCTTCAAGATAAATTAACTTGATTGTCGAAGATTTTTAGTTAACACTTTTTGTAGGTTGAACATAAACAATATAAATCCTGATCAATGTAAGTGTTTTACTTTCATGTAAAGTTGGCATACGTAATGTTGTGAATAGTATTATTCTCACATTATAATGTTTGTTAAATGTCTTAAATTATAAATTAGTGAGAACTAAAGTTTTGAAAAATTCCATGGAGTGTAAGTATAATGTTTAGTAAGAAACAGCGGTTTACAAAATTCGGATGCTATAAGGTAATCTTCAGTAAATTTGAACTTATGAATAATTAGCTAACTCATACTATGGAACGTAGCATCGGAGCGTAGGAATAAGACATAAGAATAAGTTTGTTGACACTTATCAACAAAATTCAAACGGTAATCTTGTTATAAAAATAATATTAGAAGTTTCTAAATTTTTACTGACCATAAAACAATTTCAACAGTATTAACTATTCAAAAAAGAGTAGTTATTGACGTAATTCTGTCATCACACTGAAATTTAGCACACAGAACTCCACCATGTCAATACGCTTAAATCAATGCTGAATCATATTTATTGTCCTATCTTTCAGAGATAAGATCCATTTCTTGTGACTCAAACAAGATAATCATGACCTCCGACAACATTAGTACTAACTTTTATTTAAAACTCAGTTGTCAATGGTTACGAAGTCATGTGTTTGATAAGTGTTTGTTTTCCATTTTAAAGTAAAACGGTAATCTTTCTTTTTAAAGTTAACCCTAACTCCTTGAGCACATAAATAAGATAAATTTTTCAGCATTACAAAACCCTATGCAAATGATAAAAGTTAAACCATTAAATCTCATTCCGGACACTAGGACCTTCTTGAGTTTCTAGGTTTTATTTTGCTAACAAGAAGTAAACCGTTCCTCAACTAGTTTAAATCAGTATTTTCTTTTATTAGAACGTTATTTCCAATACTTTTATTAGTAACTTATTTTTAATTCAAATCCATAATTCGAGGATCAAATCAAGTTTAGAATGAAGTGAAATCCCATTAGTGAAATTAGATGATGGTCGCGTTATACTGAGAGATAACCGAAGTTCTACAATATAAGCCATTAAATTGTGAATCTACGGCTATAGGTTATCGTATTTGTGTGTTGTCCCTAGTTAGAATGTAAAGTCAGTATATCGTCATAATGTAACAGTGGTAATATCTACCATAATCGTTAATCAACACCAATGTTTACATTAGGAAAACTATTGAAAAACTACATGTATAAATTAGAGAATTCGATATTTTCTCAAGAATACTCTTATAACACAAACATTTGTGAAAACATAATCTAATACAAAAAGCTAAATTTTGTAAAATACTTTATGAATAAACAAACTTTCAGAATATACTTGTACTATGATTAGCTAGGTGGGGCTAAAAGTCAACTCAAATAAACAAAGTCCAATCTGGTATTTAAACTGTTCTTTTAGCTTGAACAGTATTCTTCTCGTTTACAATGCTGAGATTTTGGGAAGAAAAATGATTACATGATCGACTGACTAATTGACTGACTGACTGAGTGGATGAGTGAATTGAAATAGAAACTTCCATTGAAAGACGGTACCTTTAAAAGTCACTCAACTTTTTTAGAATTATTTCTGATTTTACATAAAATTCGACAATATAGAGTATATATATAACGACCGGATAAAAGTACTTTGATTGAAAATTATGTAAATAGTAGTAATAATATTAATTACAATGATAATGTCAATGTATTAAAAAGCTTATAAAAATAAATTAAGTTAGCTTACTTGAATAAATGCATTGTTACTATCAGCGACAAGTATTTTATTTTCTCTTGTAATACATATTCCAGATGGATTTGCAAACTCACCATTACCTCTTCCTTTTGTACCAACGGAATATAAAAAGTCACCTCTTTCCATTTTATATAGATCAGCTAGTGCTGTTGGCTGATCAGATAGATTTGAATAAACAGGTACAGACTGACAACGTCTTCTTGACTGAATTCTGTGTTGTGTACGACGTGGTAATTCACTAATTTCTCTCATCGTATCAGATATTGCTTGTAGACTTGCTTTAGGAGGACTATCAACACTTATACAGTAAGGAGATCCCTTTATGTGTTCACCAAATAATTTAATTCTTAGATCGTACAAACCAGGATGAGAAATTTTATAAACAACTTGTAAATTATTTCCTTGAATGTTATTTCCATTGTGATTGCTATAAAGTGAAAGACTAGAACCGCTGTCCGATATTTGTTTCTCTTGAATTCCAACCTCCATTTCACTAATGCTTTTCTGAGTTAAGAGGACTGAAAATTCCTTACTGGATGCATTTGCTACTGCACGGCCCAACCTGTCATTAGTGATAATATCAACCTTGACTTCTTCATTTGCTTGACAACGTCTGACTGTGACAAAATGATCCAAGTAGTTATCAGATAAGCTCGTATTTTGAGCATCAACTGCAGTTAAGCCGAGAGAGCCAACACACTTCACCATACCCAAAACCTGATCTAAATCAGTGGGAAAGAATGACATAGTATCAGTTTCAGATGGGTGCAAAGGTACTGGGGCAGAAATAAGCTTTTCGATTTCAGCTTTGTGTTTTTGAGTAGCAAGATCTCTTGAAACTGTGTTCTGAATAACCTTTTGAGTTTGATAAGAGATTTCATTAGTGGGTTGTGCTTGTAAAAGTCTTTTCAAAAGATCAACGTGTGAAGATAGTCTTTGAAGTCGAGTTTCGAATTCTGTATGTAACTTATTTATAGCTTCATTTCTCACGCTCAAACAAGTATCAAGTTCATTTAAAAGATAGTCGTGTCTTTCACTTACAGATCTTTGTATCATTTGCATGCTTTGATCGATTTGGCCACGAATTTCTTTCCTAACACACGGAAGATATTCGCTTAGACTTTCCAGTTCTTCGCATCTTTCAGATAGACATTTTATTACATCTTCAGCTAAACGAAGTTTATCGTTTACTTCATTACAATAATCTGACTGTGTTTTCTCTACTGTACCATTGATAGAAACAAGAGCTCCAAAGTCTTTATTGTTTGTGGATGATGTCAATACCATATCATCGTGTCGTGGATCATCCATTCTCTAGTATCATTCCTAGGAAGACAATTATGAGTCTGTAACGTTTCCCATCCGTGAATTGCGTGACATATTTGTGTCTAACTTGTCGGTAATCTTTCAACCAATAGGATTGAAGAGAGCTACTATGACGAATCTCTCATCATCGATGTTGTACTATGAACATAAAATTTACGTCTAACAATAAAAATTTATATGAATATGAATATGTTATTGCCTTACACAAAAGACTTCTACTTGGTATGACTTTTTGTTTTAGTGTTCATGTATATTCGCTCGTTTTATAAACGTCGATGAGCTGCCGGAACGTTTGTAGCTTCGCTCCAAGTAAGTTTGCAATCTTCTCAACACTATCACTAACAGTGCAACCGTAAATCCTCATCCTGACCATACAATTGAGTTTGCACGCACTGAATTTTCGAAGTAGTGATATCTTATAGGAAGCTACGTAGAGCGTGGTATACTTTGTAAAGCTTTTCATAGTCAACTCCGTTTTTTAATGCCCTACCAAATTGCTGACTGAATCATAATACCCAGTTACGAACTAAAAATTGATGGGAATTCAGTATCTAGTCACCACTATCTTATGTGATTGCCTTTGGTCTTTTGCTTTCAATTTCCAATCGTGTCCCGGCTGGTAGTATATCATAAACCTTAGAACTTGATCATGCTAATTTCTCTGTCGTCAAAGTAGGGATCTTGAGTTCTCTTAAGGATATGTGAGCGGTTATAAACTCAAGTCTGCCAACACCGTGGAAGGGTTCATCTAGAGGTACCTAAATAAGAAATTTAGGTTAGAGCACTCAAGACCACTGTATTCATAATCAATCTCCTTCTTCAATTCCTATTATTCTTCCCATCTCGACTTTCAACACTAAACTTCCTCTTTCGGCTCCCTCCTCAAGTGTCACCATGGCTGACGATTCTAGTGCGCGAAATACTGTCCCAGGTCTACTAAAACCTCGCTCCAAACTACACATTGGAGCCTTCAACGTACATACCCTATGTCAAATCGGCCAACAGGCCTTCTTGGTTAAGACCCTAGAATCTCGTACCATTGATGTATGCCGTGCTCCAAAACACGCATACAAGATCCTAGTGTGATCATTCACTTGACCTCACCTTGCCAAAATGGACAGCTGACGAAATACACCCTCCGTGTATCGGGCGACCCGATGGCTAGTTCTCGTGGACTTGCAGGTGTAGGCACTTATTGACTTACAATACGCAAATGACAGTCCTGTTTGATGAAGATGCTGATAAAATGCAGAATCTTCTGTTAGCACTGAGTAACTGCCAGGATATTTGGAATGCGTTTCTCCCCCTGTAAATGTAAATTGCTACTCCAGGACTGGCCTGCGTCAACGCCTCAACTAAGGATAGGGAGCGAAGTGGTCAGACGCGTCAACAACTTTACTTATCTTGGAAGTCTGATTAGCCCTAATGGGTTGGTGTCTGACGAAATCTCAGTACAGATTCAGAAAGCTCGTTTGGCTGTTGCCAACTTACGTCACCTACGGTGGAGACGAAATATCCGTCTATCAATTAAGGGACGAGTATACTGTGCAGCAGTTCGTTCTGTTCTACTTTACGACTGCGAGATTTGGCCATTAAGAGTAGAAGATACTCGTAAGCTACTAATATTTGACCACAGATGTCTTAGAAATATTGCTCGCATCTACTAGGATCACCGGGTAAGTATTAGTGAGGTTAGACACAGGGTATCAGGGAATGATGGTAAATCGGTTGTAAACCAAGACGTGGCATCAGTCCTTAAAGTTACTAACTTCTAGTCTGAGCCATGTTGGTAGATGTAGACTACTTGGTTGGGGTTCGCGTGACTATCGTAACCAATGGTTAAAGACTCTGCGTGACATGGCTCAGAATCGATCACCATGGCGTAGGTGTGTACACTCCCTGTCTTCCCTTAAACTATGAGATTAAGATTGCTTCATATCGGTCTTTCTCCCTGTACTATATCCTTATATACAATCTTTCTTTTATACATTACTTCCATTGAAGTAACCACTTCTATGAATTCGGTGTTCATCTTGTGCTAACGAGGTATGGCAACTTGGACCGATGCATATGTGTGACTGATTGACTGACGTCTCCGAAACGCACATACAAGACCCGGGTAGCGTCATTTATTTGACCTCACCATGTCATAATAAAGAACCAACTGGAAGCCCTGATGCTGCTTCCCGTGGCCTCGCTGGCGTAGGTATAGCATTGAGTCCCAGGGCTGAACTAGCTCTTTTAGACTGGATCACACCAGATAGTCATCTGTGCGCTGTCCGACTAAACGGAACAGTAAGGACTCGGAAAGATAGAGATACTCGTCGTTACCTCTTCGTCGTCTCTGCCTCCTCTCCCACAGACTGCAGCTCAGATGATGTAGAAGATGAGTTTTACAAAAAGCTTTCCAACCTTCTGCGAAAGGCTAGGCACTCTGATGTAGTAATAGTGACTGGTGACTTTAATGCTTAAGTAGGTAAACTAAGCGAAAGGGAAAGACACCTAGGTGGATATTATAGCGTCGTGGCTGAAAGAACAGATAATGGCGGAGTTCTACTTAATGATAACCAAGCTAAAAATATATTTCAGGAACAACTAGAAAAACTATTAGGCAACCATCTAAGTTGTGCCCACCCCGAGGCAGCGTGGAATGACATCCGAAAAGCTGTGGAAACAGCAGTGATATCTGATAGTACGGTAAACCATAAGGTTAAGGAGAGACAATGGACCTCGGCAGCATCCACTGCACTGATAAATGCTCGGAAACACACCCCATCTGGCTCTGAACATAATGAAGAGCGGAGTCAACTTAAGCGCAGGCTGAATGGTAGCCAAGAGTATTTTATCAGTTGTCCCAGTTGTATATCTGGAGAACAGTGGTTTGATAGTTAACGCACTCTGACATACGGCTTTTCGGTTCATACAGTTAATTTACTCAACTTTTGTGATAATGCCTACTTTAATTCATGCCACCAGACTGTAAACCTTTACTTGGTTAACTAATTTATACTTCAATATTATTTGCGATGGTTTTTTGTTATTATCTGTAATCCACCTCATCGATCTTCACATGAAAAATTGTTTCCTGGTTTTTTAAACGCTTGACGAAAGACAATGTTGATTCGACCAAACCTTTAATAACCAGGGTAATCAAAACATGTATTACGAATGACCAGTCACTCTCGACCCTGAAGTCCAAAAGAGATTAACGTGGTTATAGATCCCACAACGTCAAGGTTAACTGGAATAAAAATTACATCAGTCATTGGATGTCAAAGGAAAACTAATTGGAAGATGCAGACTTCCTGGTCAGGGGAACCTTAAGTAGCCTTGACTCAAAACCGGTTTCACCGGCTATTATTTAGACTCCTTATTTATTATGTGTATTTATGTGAACACATAAATATTGGTACGAGGAAGCACCACATACATATGCGCCACACAAATCTCTTTTGATTTGTGTGAGGGCTGTGATACTGCCCAGGTGCCCAAACTGAAGCAGGATTTAGACTCCTAGTTTTCATATTTTTGGTTTCCTTTGATTGTGTTAATGTGAATTGTATCACCATGGACCGGTACATTTGCGCCAGGTTCTACTTCGTTTAAAACGGACTTCTTTATTAATGAATTGTTTAAGTTTCTCTAAACGGATCATTTATCTGTTTCTTCTTATTACTACTCCTGTTTTCATGTTTTGTTTGCGTAACCACATAAGTCATCTATGATTGCATCCGATGTCCCAAGTTTTCATTCTTCAGTAATGATGTTTGGTAAAATTCCGATATGCTAAACAGTTTTCAGTATCATAACCGATATGGAAATAGTTTACAAAAGAATGCTTTGAAAATACTTGTATTTGCTTTCTGTAATTGTCTTGTTTCTGTAGTTTTAGGATCGGTTCGTCGGTCATGCTACAATAGTACTCGCAAAAATATTCTGTTAGATGACAAGACCAAATTGATATGTCAAGGGTTTACGGGAAAACAGGGAACTTTTCATTCTCAACAAACTCTTGCTTATGGCACAAAACTTGTGGGTGGAGTTTCACCTGGTAAAGGTGGCAGTTCCCATCTTGGGTTACCTGTTTTCAACTCCGTGAACGAGGCTAAGGAAGCTACAGGTGCAACAGCTACTGTTATTTACGTGCCTCCATCCCATGCTGCCGCTGCTATCCATGAAGCTATTGATGCACAGATTCCTCTCATTGTCTGTATAACCGAAGGTATCCCGCAGCATGATATGATACGCGTACGAAAACGTCTTTCTGAACAGGTAATGTGGTTTCATAATTTCAGTCATATGTTATATTTCCAAGGACCACTTTAGAATGCATGTTTTTTTTATAAAACAATGATAAGGCGTCTATGTCAGTATGCAATTTGAGACGAAGGAACAATGATTTAAGAGGGAATAGTACGTGAAAATCTCCAGATAAATAGCAAAAAGTGTCACCACTTATAATTCTGTGACATTGTACAGTATCTAACTAGAAACTCAAAAATAAATTGGTTTTCTTTAGTGTTTTGGGCTTGTCCTCAAGTTCGTCACTCATTCATTAACAATTAGATAGTTATCACTGATATGGTGTTGGAAAGTTAACCAATTCTTCCCGTTTTCATTAATGGCTTATATTTCTTCAGAAGTACACCTATTAGTTCCATTTAAAACATTTCTTCCAAAACGTTGTTTCCCTTACCACTACCAGACTACAGTGCCATCTTGTTTAAATGTATGTTCACCACTTACAATGCACAATACATGTACTACTCATAATTAGAATTATATCCCGTAAAGTATTTAAGTACCTAGTGTATATACATATCCGACTAACTGATGACGTTAGACGATCAACTTGCCGCCTCCCTCAGGCATATAAGAAAAATCTTCAAAACTCTACTAGTCAGTCAGTCGCAACGTAGAACTTCGTACGTACGTACATCAGTTCGAGTTGCCATACCACATTAACACAGAGATGCAGTTGTCGATTCAAATCCCGTAGTGGTACAGGTAGTAAGAGTATAAGCTGTAATCGGAAAGCTTACGGTTTGAAGATGTTACTGAAGGAGTATAATCCAGTAAAACAAATTTGAAAAGAGAAAAAAGATAGAGACATGAGGAATTCGGAAGATTAGAATTTGGCAGAACACAAATAGTGGATGCACCTTCGCCATTGAAAACGATTTTGAACCATGTCATTCAAGGTCTCTAACCATCGGTTGTTATCATCTTGCGGATCCCAACCAGGTAGTCTACACTTACCAACATGGCTCAGTCCACTTATCAGTGACTACATGGATTTGTGCCGTGTTTTGATATGGCCGCCCCTAGCTTTCTCCCAACCTGCTTTTACACCATAAAGCATCGCACCTCGAGACAGTCGGTGGTTGCGCATACGTAGCACGTGTCCCAGTCATCTCAACTGATGAAGTATCACTACCTCAGTCAATTTGTCATCCTTACCCAGTACCCGTTACCTAACAACTGCATTACTTACTTGGAGGTCCCAAGATATACGAGCAATGCTTCGAAGACACCTATGATCGAACACTAGTAGCCTACGAATATCCTCTACTCTTATCGGCCATGTTTCACTGCCATAAAGTAGGACGGAACGAACTGCTGCGCAGTAAACCCATCCTTTGGTTGCTAGATGGATATCTCGCCTACGCCATAAATAACGCAAGTTTTTAGACAGATGGAATTACGTCCAGTTTCTAGATTCTACCTAAGACCTCAGTCAATCTCGCTGCTAGTACTGGACCGCCATCCTTAAAAATCTCAGGGGTAAACCTGTCAGGGCCTGCTGCTCTCTCTTGCTTCAGATTTCCTATAGCTTTTTCAACCTCGTAAAGAGTTGATGGGCTTACATTAACTTGCCATTCAGGTCGACTGGGGATCGTGGGAAACCAAAGTGTAGCTGAAGGCCAGTTGAACTGATTCCTAAAGTGTTCTGCCATCGATCCAATCTCCTGGATTAAGAATGAATGATATGTCCATCTTTATCTGAGATAGTTTCGCTGATATTTGGGTTCCTAATACCGGTTTCTTTAACAAGTCTTAATAGTTGTCTGCTGTTACCTATTGCCGCTGCCTTTTCCATCTCTGTTGCTTTCGCTACCCACCACTGTTCGCTATCTTTGAGTAGGCTTCTTGTTAGCCTGAGCTTAAGTTGACTCCGCTCTTCATTATGTTCAGAGCCAGATGGGGTGTGTTTCCGAGCATTTATCAGTGCAGTGGATGCTGCCGAGGTCCATTGTCTCTCCTTAACCTTATGGTTTACCGTACTATCAGATATCACTGCTGTTTCCACAGCTTTTCGGATGTCATTCCACGCTGCCTCGGGGTGGGCACAACTTAGATGGTTGCCTAATAGTTTTTCTAGTTGTTCCTGAAATATATTTTTAGCTTGGTTATCATTAAGTAGAACTCCGCCATTATCTGTTCTTTCAGCCACGACGCTATAATATCCACCTAGGTGTCTTTCCCTTTCGCTTAGTTTACCTACTTAAGCATTAAAGTCACCAGTCACTATTACTACATCAGAGTGCCTAGCCTTTCGCAGAAGGTTGGAAAGCTTTTTGTAAAACTCATCTTCTACATCATCTGAGCTGCAGTCTGTGGGAGAGGAGGCAGAGACGACGAAGAGGTAACGACGAGTATCTCTATCTTTCCGAGTCCTTACTGTTCCGTTTAGTCGGACAGCGCACAGATGACTATCTGGTGTGATCCAGTCTAAAAGAGCTAGTTCAGCCCTGGGACTCAATGCTATACCTACGCCAGCGAGGCCACGGGAAGCAGCATCAGGGCTTCCAGTTGGTTCTTTATTATGACATGGTGAGGTCAAATAAATGACGCTACCCGGGTCTTGTATGTGCGTTTCGGAGACGTCAGTCAATCAGTCACACATATGCATCGGTCCAAGTTGCCATACCTCGTTAGCACAAGATGAACACCGAATTCATAGAAGTGGTTACTTCAATGGAAGTAATGTATAAAAGAAAGATTGTATATAAGGATATAGTACAGGGAGAAAGACCGATATGAAGCAATCTTAATCTCATAGTTTAAGGGAAGACAGGGAGTGTACACACCTACGCCATGGTGATCGATTCTGAGCCATGTCACGCAGAGTCTTTAACCATTGGTTACGATAGTCACGCGAACCCCAACCAAGTAGTCTACATCTACCAACATGGCTCAGACTAGAAGTTAGTAACTTTAAGGACTGATGCCACGTCTTGGTTTACAACCGATTTACCATCATTCCCTGATACCCTGTGTCTAACCTCACTAATACTTACCCGGTGATCCTAGTAGATGCGAGCAATATTTCTAAGACATCTGTGGTCAAATATTAGTAGCTTACGAGTATCTTCTACTCTTAATGGCCAAATCTCGCAGTCGTAAAGTAGAACAGAACGAACTGCTGCACAGTATACTCGTCCCTTAATTGATAGACGGATATTTCGTCTCCACCGTAGGTGACGTAAGTTGGCAACAGCCAAACGAGCTTTCTGAATCTGTACTGAGATTTCGTCAGACACCAACCCATTAGGGCTAATCAGACTTCCAAGATAAGTAAAGTTGTTGACGCGTCTGACCACTTCGCTCCCTATCCTTAGTTGAGGCGTTGACGCAGGCCAGTCCTGGAGTAGCAATTTACATTTACAGGGGGAGAAACGCATTCCAAATATCCTGGCAGTTACTCAGTGCTAACAGAAGATTCTGCATTTTATCAGCATCTTCATCAAACAGGACTGTCATTTGCGTATTGTAAGTCAATAAGTGCCTACACCTGCAAGTCCACGAGAACTAGCCATCGGGTCGCCCGATACACGGAGGGTGTATTTCGTCAGCTGTCCATTTTGGCAAGGTGAGGTCAAGTGAATGATCACACTAGGATCTTGTATGCGTGTTTTGGAGCACGGCATACATCAATGGTACGAGATTCTAGGGTCTTAACCAAGAAGGCCTGTTGGCCGATTTGACATAGGGTATGTACGTTGAAGGCTCCAATGTGTAGTTTGGAGCGAGGTTTTAGTAGACCTGGGACAGTATTTCGCGCACTAGAATCGTCAGCCATGGTGACACTTGAGGAGGGAGCCGAAAGAGGAAGTTTAGTGTTGAAAGTCGAGATGGGAAGAATAATAGGAATTGAAGAAGGAGATTGATTATGAATACAGTGATCTTGAGTGCTGTTAGAGTTATGAGGGCAGTTATCACTTCCCGGTCGCCCACACCGTGGAAGGGTTCTTCTAGAGGTACCTTTAAAGGAAATTGAGTTAGAAGTTGTCCTAATGACTTGAGAGCATGACCGCAGTGCCCAAGGTTCAACTGCTTGAGGTCGGTCACACACGACCTTTTTGTGGGTAATTTTTGTGTTAACTTCGTATTTGTTGGTACCTTACCACCGGAGACGGATATCTGTGTGATAAGGCGAGGTGTGCATTTTTAGGGCCGACCTTTTCTAACCCCACCCCTCCTTGTGGGAAGGCAGCATCGCTGTTATGCTGGTTGTCTGAAAGAAACATCTTACTGCCGCCATACCTCTGTCCAGTCAGCAGTTCGACTTCGTCTTTGGACCTTGGGTTTGCCTCTTTTAGTCTTACCGGTCTTCAACCGACCTGTCTAGCACGGTAGGACCTAGAGGAACGATTGTTCCAGCCAGTATAGCTCGATCGGTTCATCACGAAAGGCGAGCCCTACCTCCACGTCAAGGTAGCAGCTATGGTCGAGCAAATCTCTAATAATGTAGTGAACAGAACAGTAGTTGGGGACAATCGAATGTATTTAAGCAAAAATTACAGACTATCTCAGTAAATTCTGATAACCAAACAATGAATAGTCAATTTGCAAATTAACAACCAATTGTTTCTTCTCTAATTCCGTTGCTCATGCATTTTCCAAACGATTGCGCTTCATTTCAGTTCTTTCCTCATCGATCCTCTGCCAAAATACATTCTATGTCTGACCCACACCATATACTACTTATATGGATATAAGTAGACCACACCACAATAATATCCAGCTGGTGAATTCCAGACGTTAGCTGGTTATTATTTGCTAATAAATGTTATACGGATTGACTGTTTATCTCTTGATATGATATTGTAAACAGTCTTTTTTTCATACATTTCCCTGTTTGAACTAAACTTACCAACTTTTTTACCTTATAATAATGCAAAACGGCTGGTTTCCTCGTAAATGTAATATATAGTTACCAATTAAAAGTGCATCATGTTTGCTTTTTAAGAATCGGAGGCAAGCAGTCTAAAAATGTTATGACTTCAAGGCCGGCTTTTTATCACGTGATTTATTCGCCAATCAAAATACGACTTATCCAATCTTAGTACTGTGCTAAACCAATGACTTTCGACTGGTTTCAGCAGCCTAGTGTCCTTATGGGTCCTCTGTTCGCCTAACCCGTCCAGCTGAGTTCAGAACACCAATAACAGCTTCCACTATGCGAATCATTTATTTCAAACATATTTGGTATTATATACCAGCCAAATAGACCGCATCACACCACAAAATAACGTTTGTACAAGATCAAGCTAAAAAGTAGCTATGAACTTGGTATACTGTAATCAATAAACTGGACATAACTTACGAACAGTAAATCGTATAATAATAATCTATAGGTCAAAATAAAGTTTATAGTAAGGAGAATATAGATATACATAATCTAGTTACTGAATAGTTATATAATAAGAATATATATATAATATTAATCCTGTTATGACTTTATGAAAGGCCGTCGCCAATTTGTTATGACTTTATAAAAAATAATAGGTCGTATGACAATTCGTTATTGATTTTTTTTGTCCAGCTTTTATCACGTGAATTATCCACCAATCGAAATACGACTTTTCCGATCTTAACACTGTGACAAATCAATGACGTTCGACCAGTATGAGTAGTCTAGCGTCTTTATTCGTCCTTTGTCCGCCTAGCCCTTCCGATTGAGTCCAGAACACCAATTGTAGCTTCTGCTGTGCGAATCATTTATTTCAAGCATACTCGGTTTATATACCAGGCAGACAGACCACATCACACCATAAAGTAGAAAATAATATTTGTACAAGATCAAGCCAAATGTGGTTGTGAACATGGGATACAGTAATCAATAAACTGAACATAATTTGGGAACAGTAAATCGTACAGTAATAATTCATAAGTCAAAACGAAGCTTATAATAAGATGAATATAGATATACACAATCTAGTTACTTAATAGTTAAACAATAAGAATATACATAGAATAACCGTCCATTAATAGGTCCCGGAAATTACCCATACTTATGTCTTCACTAGGATATAACAAATCCACTAATAGTTCTCAGAAGTTACCCGTAGTTTAATCTTCACTAGGATATAACAAAAAGCATTTGTATCGCTAAAAGAATATTACAAATTGTCAAGGATTGTTTATATATTTACAACAAATAATATTAGACATCGTTTCTGTAATAGGGGTCGTCCATATAACCAATGTGTTGTTATTGTTAATGATTCGAATTCATTCGACTTAATACTTAAGCTACGCTAGTTTCTAAATTCGTTTCAATATGTTTAGTTCACTCAGCATTCTCCAATCATGCCCCAATTACTTTTTGTATATCATGTGTTTTTTATTCATCTCTAGTCTGCCTCAAGATTAATTGGACCAAATTGTCCAGGAATAATAAAACCGGACGTATGCAAAATTGGTATTATGCCTGCACATATTCATAAACCAGGAACGGTAGGAATAGTATCCAGATCAGGGACATTGACTTATGAAGCTGTCTTTCAAACTACACAGGTATTTGATAAATTATCTAGTATATCCATTTATTTCAACGTTTGACAATTGCATAAGTTATTTACTAAATTATTCATTACTATTCCTATGTCAGTCAACTTATACATATTGTCCTGTGTAACTGAAAAACGAATGAAAAGTGTATTCTCACGACCAGCTGTCATTCAATCTTCCTTTTCGATATGGAAACGCCCAAGATCTACTGACTGTATCTGTATCCATGCAAGCATTTTGATTAAGTTTTTAGCCTTTCGTATCTTAGCTTATTGAAGCTAGAATAAGCCAGGGGACATAACTTCTCTTCTAAAAACATTTAATTCACTATCCGGGGCCTATTTTCTTCGTGACAGACAATCTTAATATCCTAGAATGTGCTAAGAAAATCTTAAAATTAGCATTAACTCCTATGACGAACGAACATGTGTTTTTGGAAGAGAGTTTTTATATTTTAACTCAAAATACTTACCAAATACAGTTTTATGCACTCCTGTGAGCCACAGTCACGAAGGAGATAGTGATACTGTCCAACTGCTCAAATTGATGTAAGTTGTCCCACCGTTCTGAATGGGGAACTCCTAGCTCTTATATTAATGCTATAAAATTGTGGTTATGTATTAGCCAATGTTTTATCAAAACCATCTCCACATTATTTACATTTGATTCACGTACATCTAGATTTATTAAGTGATTTTATCTTTCTTCACTTCAAAGTTTGTCATGCAATGTATACTACATATCAGCCTACCAGAAATTATAACGCTTTTTTTCTTTTCTCAAAAGGCTTTAATGTAAGCAAATTGTGTTGAATAGGAATTCTAATAGGATGTCTAAAATTTAAGTAACTCGTGGTTCCAAGATATCCCAGGTAACGCGCTAGTTAACAACTCGAAGTTATTTTGTGATTCAACAGCTCAAACAGTGGTGATCTGTCAAGCAGGATGAAATAAATTGTGGTATATATATATATATATATATAATATGTTTTACTCTATGTAGACCTAATAATGTAACGTGTAGAAAAACAGTACACAAATACAATGAACTGATAGTTGTCCCGACGAACTACGAGAAATAAAAAGTGCCCTTCAAAAGTTACACGACATACGGTGCTCTTAATGCAAATATTGTTAGACTAATGAGTGAACAAACTCCAAACATAGCACTTCCGTCTTAGAAATTCCCCGAACAGAGAAATCTTTAACAATTTAAGTGATTCAATAGGAATTAATAAATAGCCAAAGCAAATAGCAATACAAGACAAATAAAATGAATAGAGCGAGAGCTCTTAATAGCTATGATAAAATGACCTAAGGATATATGATTGAATCTTATGATCGTCTAGGTCATACGTAGGACATTGAAATAACCAATCACGAAGCAATTAGAAGCGCAGAATAGTTTTGGAGATTAGATGGATGATTCACCAATGTAGGGAGACATATTAATCAAAAGTAGAAATAGATGACAATGAAATAGAAGATAAATTCATTTGGTATTGTTTGTTTGAATCTTCCCATTGATGTTTAGGACTGCAATTGATCAGTCTCATATTGGCATATGTGTATACAGTGCGTATTGCCTCGATATATAGCCTAATTCACAAGCGTTATAAGCAAAGATGGATAGGGGTTAGCAGTGAAATCCAGGACGCGCGTTTCGTCCTATTTGGGACTCGCGTTATTCACTCAGCTACTGAAGATAATCTGCGCAAAATGTAGCATGTGCATACAAAACTATACTAATAGAGAATAGTGCATATTCAATGGCAAAATAAAACAACGGGTTAAACTTGGACGAACACATTTTCATCAGGTCCTACATCGATTGTGTCTGGATTGACCTTGTGAATTTTGGATTAGAATATTCAGGTTTGTGTGAACACTAAAAGTGTTAATAAAGTTTTTTTTTGTTACAGAAGTTACCGAACAGAAACCAGTTTAGTCGTTAACGTTTAGTTTTGACTCGTAAACCTAATGCGTAAGATAATAATGTTACTTCAGTGTTCCCATTTATTCATTAGTTGTTGATTTTCACGAGTCCGTAAACTGTTCCTTCTGATAAATTGTTTAAGATCATGTGATAGCACAATACTGTTTTCCCAATATTACTGACTAGAAATCTGCTAACCCAGCGTCGTACATCTCGATTCTACCTATAACCTATAACACTGTTTTGTCTCATTATCATTCCTTAGCTTTTTAGCATGAACTGAGACACAATACTAATATAATACAAATGTACTTTTATGGAAAACTAATTCGTTTTTCCACTGAGGTTCTCGTTTTTTCAGTTACTTCATGTTATATATATTTTTATAGCCGTCACATGCTAGGAATTCAAGAAGTATTATTCCATTTGTTACGTGTATCAGTTAATCCAGATTAGTGGTAATCAATTGTGGCATTTATTCAAAATGTATCTGTTTATATGTAGTTCAAGATACTATTTCAAGTAACTTATAATTGTGAATCACTAAATGCTAGGTTGGTCTTGGTCAATCTCTATGTGTTGGAATTGGTGGTGATCCGTTTAATGGAACAAATTTCACCGATTGTCTTGAGGTGTTTTTAGAAGATCCTAACACAAAATCAATAATCCTGCTTGGCGAAATCGGTGGTGACTCAGAAGAACAAGCTGCAGAATTCTTAAAAGAGCATAATACTGTAAGTTTTTATATTCAACTTCCTTCAGTGTTTCTGTGCATCTTTTAAGTTTCGATCTACAATGAGTACGGAATATATTAGATCAGAAACTTCATAGCTCAGCGTACACTGTAAGTTTGGCTCAAAAAACTTGTATTTCTTATCGAACGTAAAGCTGCGCATGGCCAATCCTTGACATTTGAATGTAGAAAAAAATAAAATAAAACTGCGTGGATACTGATAATATATGTCAAGAGGAAAAAAACATTATTGCAAAATTGTTGTATAAATATACTTGTTAAGTAGTAGTAGTCTAGGGAAATAAAGATTGCTGTGTACTCAAAGTGAGACAGTACGCAATCAAGAGGAAATGAGCTTTTGTTTGTATATTAATTAACTTATGAGAAAGAAGAATGTTAAAAAATATCAGGTTATTTTAGTGAAAAATTAGAAAGAACTGAATTAAATTGATGACTTGTTTTTCAAATAATTCAACGAAAAGACTAAGTCTATCAAAACTATGATATATATTGGCACAATACAATAAGACCAATGATCTAATCACATTGAGGTCCACTAGATTAATTGAAGGATAGGAGAAAAACAAAGATAATGAAGAAAACTATACGAATCACACCATTCTGGATAATAGTTCAACATTATCAGGATAGGTTTAGTGTAAGTACTGACTGTTTTTTGAGCACACGAACCGGGGTGTTTTTAGATTCTCATGTGGCTAGAGCCTCAACAAACCTACGTATTCACTCTAGTCGACTTTTACTATCCAGAGCGGTGCGGTTTGCATTTTTTTATTATCTTTGTTTTTCTCTTATCCTGTAATATGTCTGATCGACCCTTATGCCCTCTGAAGTAAATGTGTGATCAGATTATTATTCTTATTGTATTGGGCTAATATATCACATAATTTTGAAACCTCGTCTCATTCCGTCATCTAAATTTATCACAGGGACCAGCTGTTTTAAATTTGCTTCTTCGTCTTAAGGTAAATAGAACTATGTTTGTTGTTTCGTTTTCAAACACTGTTTTTTCACATGCTAACTTCATTTTTATGGTAAATTAAATTACTTCATACCCTTTAAAAGTAGAGAATATTCTTAGGTTATTAGTATTTGAACATGGTTGCCGTCGAAGCACTGCCCAAACATATTGGGACCATCTAATTGGCAATAATAAGTTTAGATGCATGGTACAAAGCAATGCTACCAAGTTTGTTGATGAGGTAGTGAAACCTTATCGAATGAGCTAGCTGTGGCTTGTACTGCGTATAACCAACCATCCCCTATCTCAACATACTGTTGTAGGAGTATGTTAAAAGAAATCTATGGGCAGCCAAATTAAAGCGTGGCATTATTTCACGCAGTTATTGATCGTTGGTCTAAGCTGCATTCTCACTGAGTTTTTATTTTTAATAATATTATTTCTACTCAGTAGTCATATAGTAATATGCTTATAGAGAAGAGTACTAGAATGATGTGCGTTATGTTCCTAATCATTGTGTTCATCAGAGGTATTTAACTCATCACACATTAATTACACCTTAAAATGTTTTTTCACAAATTGATTGTTCAGATTTCTATAAACCACTCTTGACCTCCCTTTTGTTTTCTTTTGTCTTTAGGGTCCAAATCGCAAACCAGTTGTATCTTTTATTGCTGGTGTTACAGCGCCACCCGGACGTCGTATGGGTCATGCTGGAGCTATCATTTCGCTGGGTAAAGGTGGTGCTAAAGAGAAAATGGCAGCTTTAGAAAGTGCAGGTGTTGTTGTCACACCTTCCCCAGCTCAAATAGGTAAAACTCTCTTGCAAGTAAGTGTTCGTACCCATTCCATTACTTTATCTTTGAAGTGTCCTTTTCGTAACTTATCAAATCTAAGCTATGGGATAAATGTTAAATATTAACTAATTGGCTTTTTTAGAAAAAAAGAAAGTTTTGTTTTTTTTAGAAATTATAAGGGAATAGACTTACTCGAGCCTTTCTCTTGTAATCATGCTTCATTCCTAACTTTCCTTAGATGAACTTTTGTAAGAGCTACTCAGGAGTAAAGACCATAACTAAGAGTATTTAAGCATTTCTGGAAATTTACTACAGCTTTTCTTACTGAACATACCCTTTCCCGTTACGTATCTATATGCATCTTTTCTACTGGTTCATCAGTTGTTTATATAATCCTACTTACTTCATCTTCGTATTTAATTTATGATAAAACCAAACGTTCTTTTAGAACCATCATTATCAATAAAATCCCACATCATTACATCCTCATGTTTGGAACGTAACTACACTGAACTTCAACCGAGGTATTTACCAAATTAATAGATTTACGCTATTACTAATTATTACTTTTTTTGTAGTTTTAAAACAGCCCGAAGAATATGTATAAGTGTTTCTTCTGTGGTTGAACTTGTGTTGTTTGTACTTGAATCTCTTAATTTTGAACTTCAATACCTGACAACACACGTGTACACTACGAAATCAAATAGTTCCGTTCAATTCACAATTTCACTACCGATAAGTTTGTCCATTTAACAATAGAATCTTAAACTAAAAAAAGGCTATACTAAAACTGATAAGACGAAATCCAATTTTATTATTTATTTATTTATTTAAACACATAAATCCAATTTACCATTCACAGTAATACAACTAGCAAGGTTTTTAAAAAAAATCAAATATACTTGTTGGAATTGTTAGGAAATTGACTTACACCAACCTTTTCCACAGTTGTCATGGTCTTCTAATCAATTATGGTTGCTTGAGTCATAGCAATTGTCAAACTTCTTCTTTATTTATTGTATAGTAAATATGGCTTTTGAAAAAATAAGTCCATACAACTGCTCAGCTGAATAGTATATCAGTATAAGTCATTAAGTTTTTCTTTGTTTATGATTTATATAGTTTGTTACGTAAAGTAATCAGATATTGACAAAAGACGTTGTTTTTGTTTAGTTATTTTTTCTAAACTCTACTTGAAATATATTTCATTAGTTTGTTGTTAATTAAAGTTTAGAACTTACAAATTTGTTCCGTGATTCAACCTTTATGTTCAATAGTAAATTCTTCGAATAAAGTCAAAACAACAATTGAATCAGAAACAATATAAATTCCTTATATTTCGTGGTTTCTCATCACCTGTTTACAAACATTTATGTATCAAAGTGTAACACTTAGTTTTGATATAATATGAATTAACGGATGTTGCTAACGGAAAGAACTGATATAACAACAATTATCAGTAGCAACTATTATATATATGAGCATATGTGTGAGGTCATTTGAAGATGGCATTCAAAAGCATAGGGGGGTAGTGACCTAGGTGTCCGAAAAGTGGTAAGATGAATTATGTAATAATTATAAAAGGTCTGAATGTATCAAGGTAATGATAAATTGATAACTATCTCTATCTGAACACGTCAATCTTATTTGAGTTTTCAATTGTTACTGCTTCAACAGAATGAAAAGAAGCTGAGTTATTATGGTGGTTGATAATTTCAAAGGTCTGGCAGACGTTAATAATAGTATGTCTACTGTCAACCAAGCTATTGCACTGTTTAGAGCTGTTGCAGCTTTTAGTCTCAAACTTTTTAGAAAGTGCTCGTAAATGCAAAAACTTTTACTCTTCTTTCCGTTCTTCTCATATATGTGCTTTTGAATGTACAGTGTTCTGCCTCAATTGTTGTTTTGACTTTGTTCAAATTCATAAAAGAAATCAATCGTGGCAAATTATTCATTTGAACTAATCGAAATTACCACTGTTTACTGACATTTTAACTTTATCCAAATAAATATATGATGAAAGCAATAATAGTAGCAACTTGTTTTCTATATACTTTCATGCAGATGATTTAGATTTGCATTCTTTCTGAAAATACTCATACGATTGCTTGTTTATAGCCCCTATCAGGGAACCCCTATTCATCGAGATGTTTTTACTAAAGTAAAGAAGCTAAAGTGGCATCAGGCGCCTAATTTAAGTTGGCAGATGCAGAAAAACCTACCTAGAGGAGTTGGAAAGCCTGGATTTTAGACGAATGATCTATGTGAACCCAGTCAGTCACTAGAAACAAAAGGTATAGACTAAATGTGTTTCAGTCCAAGTTGTCACAGATCCCACGATCATAAAATAACATACAGCTTATGATACTACTATCACTATCGGTTACCATTGACAATACTTCTGACGTTCCTGTGGTCACTCGATGATTGTGTTTTTTCAAAAGAATCACCTAATTTTAACTGAGTATTATCACTGACCTTACATTTAAATGTAGTAATTTCTTTTTTTCCTATTGTACTGACCATGTTTCTTCATAAATAATAGTTTACTCAATTGCTAAATTCAGCTTAACACAGCTAATTCCACCTGAGCTACAAATCTTCTCCAACAACAGCTGGTTAACTCATATATGTTAAAAAATTGTGGCAGATCGAATTAATCAACGCATTTACTACCATTTTCATTTATTTGAAAAAAACTACTTATCTCTTATTTCATTGATTTGTGTTTAATCATTACATTCAAACATTATCGCTTTGTTTAATATTATTAAACTTTTCACTTTGGTGTTCACTGAACCCTGACGTCTGTTGATCAATAATTGGGAAGCAAGGGTTAAAAAACACTATTTTCACTCTATGATGTAACTATCCTATTACAATACATTAATAACTATTTTTGAAATTCACTTTTCAATCCTTAACTTCTCTAGTAAGCTATTATCCATAAACACTAGATTAATTCTATAAGTTGTAATTTTGTATCTGAATATTTCTATAGCACTTTGATATGAGTGTGTATGTGTTTGTAACCTTTTTCAATAATTACTTCCTTTAAATTTTCATTGTAGGCGATTGCAGATCTTCCGAACTCGTAAATAGACGTATATATTTCTGGAATATATCAAAGATTATTGTGCTCTTTATTATTTGACTTCTCATCTTACTTCAGTCATCAATGTTTCGCTGAAAAACGTCAACAGTGTTCTATACGTTGAGTATCTTACTTACGCTGCTAGTTCTTTTTCTGTACTAAATTGTTTTCATTTCTTAAATTCTTGTCCACATGTTTATGTGATTAAATATTCGACTAGATTCAGTATACCATTAATTCTTATTAAGATAGTTTCAATAAATGAATGCGTTGTTTTATTTCATGGAATTGTATCTTTTCACGTTTTTATTTTTGTAACTTTCATCTCTTTTTAGTGGATATTAAAATAGCAGTAGTCTTTTGTGCCGCTAGCTAATATAAAAAATTGATGTTATCAAGAACTGTTGGTTTTTTCATGGTACAGCCCATCGATCTATATTACTAGTTAAGATTATTTCCTCAGTTATAACATCACAACGGAAATATTCTTTTGATTGCTACTCAGAAGTTATTTTGTTTAATATAGTTTCTAAAATCACATGTCTTTTCTGGTTCTAGTGAACAGCCACATCAAGACAGTCTCTCAAATGTACATGTTCGCAGAAGCTTGTAACACAATTAACGGTATTAGTTATGTGAACTAAGCATTCAAGACAATCTATCTATAATTTTTACAGTCACTTAGTCATATGCAACGTACAACCTAAAATACATGCACTGGTCCTAGTTGCCACATACTAGATAAAATTATCAAGCCAGATTAATAGATACAATAACAGTATGCGCAGAATTGTTCAGGTAACGAAAGAAGAAAAAATGTATAAGAAGATTTCGGAACTCTTAACTTGAAGTCAGACAAAGAATACATGCATCTACGCCACTACAAACTCTTCTGAACCATATCGTTCAACAACAGCTACCAGTTACGATAATCGCTTGGATCCAGATCATGTGGTTTGCACCTATTAGCCACGTTTTGATATAATTCCCTCTGATTTTCTCCCAGCCATGATTGTGCGTTGATTTAGGCGGTGGTTGGGCAGACGTAGTACATGTCCTTACCATGTCTAATAATTTGTGTATCTGATAATGAATAGATAGCCCTTATTGAGCTTAAAATTTGGTAGTGAAAACTAAATATCCAAATTAATAAGTTAAACTTAATGAATTTCTTAAATTACTTTATTGCGGCTTTAACTGTTCATGGAGAGAGATTTTATTGTTATCGTTTGAACTTGATTTTACTGAACTATACCAAAACAAGCTTTGTTGATCCAAATATGTGATTTTTATTATTAACGAGATACTTGACAACTGATCCTTCACTTACTGGGTACGTGACTGCTTTCTTTTAAGCCATCTGTATGTTAAATCCAGTCTCATATATGCTCTTGGTCACTTCATTTGGATTTAACGTTAGGTGGTTGTGAGACAATCGATGGAAATCCCTGAACTCCGATTTTGTGCCAATGTGTTTTTTAAAGATTCAGATTGTCATCAATTAGTGGCATAACCAAAAATGTTATGACTCAACTGTTAATATGAAATCGACCCTCTGGATAATTGAAATGTTCATGCTTATTGTTCACTTTTTAGCAATAAACCATCCTGCCCGGTTTCAAGTGCTGATCCGTTTTGTTTGGATTCTCTTGTGTTCTTTGAGTTTGTATATTGTTGGATTTATAACTTGTAGTTATTTACGTGTTTTCAGAATAGAAATAAATATTACTCCTAGCTGGTGTTTGTAAGTTTCTATACAACTTGAAACCTATTGTTTTGTCTAGCCAAAGACTTGTTTTCATACTTTTGTGCTATCATATCTCACCTATACGTTAGTTCGTTTAATTTTTTCTTTACTGCAGGCTCCGTATTGTAGGATATATTAACTATTGAAAACTGTAAGTGATAAACTAGGTGAACCTTGACATAGCGTGTGTCTATGCTTACATCCTATCAAAAGACCAAGTTGTAGTTGGGAGATGATAAACAGGGCACATTCTTAGATAAAGCTATTTATGCACCTGGTCAAGTTCTTAGCCTATATGACTGTCTGGTTCAGAGGGCATATATGTGAAGATATATTTATATTCTCGATTTGTGTTATAGCTTTCTAGTCATTCTTAGCTTGCTCAATCGCGTATCATGTTGGAAATGCATCTAAGAAGCTTGCATGTCTGTATCTGCATTGTGCCATCGTAAAATATAATATAGTATTGAAATGAATAGCTCCCTTAAATTCTTTTTTGGTGATTCCTTTTGATTATTAATGACCAAAGAACCGTTTAATTTCTAAATGAAATCGGATCATTTTACAAAAAACTACAATACTGAGAGATTTATTTGTTTTTGTGTTCTGTCTATTTTTTATTGATATATTTTTATTGATTTGGTTGTATTCATTTGCATATCGCACCAAAAATATGGAATTTAGTTTATCACGGATAAATATGAACTACTTCTTTAAGAAAAACAGGCATTTCATTGAAGTTTACAGTCAGTCAGTCAGCTACAACGTAGGACCAGGCACGATTATGCATCGGTCCAAGTTGCCATACCTCGTTAGCACAACAAGATGAACACCGGGTTCATAGAAGTAATTAATTTAGTGGTGGTAGTAGTATATAAATTATAGGTTGTATATAAGGATATAGTACAGAAAGGAAGAGAGATATGAAGCAATTTTAGTCTCAAGGTTTAAAGGAAGATAAAGAGTGTATACACCTACGCCATTGTGATCGATTCTGAGCCATGTCACCTAGAGTCTCCAACCATTGGTTACGATAGTCACGCGGACCCCAACCACGTAGTCTGCATCTGCCAACATGGCTCAGACTAGAAGTTAGTGACTTCAAACACTGATGCCATGTTTTGGTTTGGCCGCCCCTAACTCTCTTCCAACAATCCCCTACACTAGTCATCATAGCGCGTCGTGGTAATCGGTGTTCAGGCATACGTAACACATGGCCCAACCATCTCAGTCGATGAAGATTCATCAACTGATTTACCATCGTTCCCTAATACCCTGCGTCTAACCTCACTATTACTTACCCGGTGATCCCATCAGATGCGTGCAATATTTCTAAGGTATCTGTAGTCAAATACTAGTAACCTACGAGTATCTTCTACTCTTAATGTCCATCTTTCACAACTGTAAAGTAGAACAGAGCGAACTGCTGCGCAGTATACTCGTCCTTTAATTGATAGACGGATATCTCGTCTTCGCCATAGGTGACGTAAGTTGGCAAAAGCCAAACGAGCTTTTCGAATCCGTGCTGAGATTTCGTCAGACACCAACCCATTAGGGCTGATCAGACTTCCAAGTTTACAGAAATAAAGTAGGCCAAAATAACAATGTAAGCTCCTCCACTAAACCATATCTGACTTGAAGAATACAACATCAAAGTATACACAAATAAACTACAATACAGTAATACTAGTAGAATTTGATATCTGTCTGAAAAAAGTTGAGCTCTTTGATAATAAGATATACAGATTCTTTATGAAAGGATTACTGAAGTATAAATCTTATGGAATATGTTATATCCTAGTGAAGAAATAACTCACGTGTGAAAAGCCGGATATAAAATCATAATGAATCGGATACGGCCTTCTTATTTTATAGTCATAACAAATTGGCGACGGCCTTTTTTAAAGTCACAACAGAATATATTCTGTTTGTCAATAATGCATCAATGGCGAAGAAACTGGAGAATCTTAATTAGCATCAAATAAAATCAGGTTGAGAATTTAAATCATTAATCTCGGAACACTACTAGAGTGATCAATACGTTCCAGAACACCTTCATGAGTTCACCTAGATATGTATATGTGGGTGCTCTCCTTCTCCAAGTTATTCTTAAAATAGGAATGTTTCTTATGTTGTGCATTTAAAACAGAACGCTGGAAAACATGGAAAGAACCAATGTGTCAAAGGGTACTGTAGTGCATACCTAAACAGCGTGTTGTCAATTTAAACGCCTTACTTTAAATTAAATTCCGCAATCAACCCCTTCGTTTACTTATTTGCCTTAAATGGAATAAAGTGGTTATCAATGTTTCGAGATTTACCATAAACTGACATCCAATTATGGTTTCATCATAACCTATTAGAAGTATCTGTCAATTTCAATAATAAATTCATAGGGATACCTCATATTGTAGTGAGCGAGAACTCAGGTACGGTAAACCGACAGGTTCGCAAAATATGAAAATCACATTAAATACATTATTTGCATATCTCCCATCATTTTTCTAATCCTGTTGTTATTGTGATTACTCTCTGTTTCCCCTCCCCTTCTCTCACTCTACTGGTAAACATTTCAATTCTTGCTACATACTACTTATGTCCGTATAAGTAGCACACACCATTACATAACAATTTCATACAGTTTTAAAAGATCCAATTGGATGGAAAATTAATTACAGCCCATACCGACTGCATTGCATTAGATTTTATGTAAAGGTTATCCCAACTTAACTTCAAAAAAGCATCTTCAAATATAACTTTCATGTACTAGTCAGCATCGTTTATCAAAAAGAACACAAGAAGATATAAATTCTATTTCTGTTTGCTTCATTATTTATTAAAGAATGGTTTGGACTTGTTACCTTCTCAACTGAATGCGATAGAACGGACGAATCGAAGTATTATTTCTCTCTCTTGAGTGGGATATTACTATACTTACTTACGCCTGTTACCCCTTGTAGAGGAGCATAGGCCGCCTACCAGCATTCTCCATCCAACTCTTTCCTGGGCAATCCTTTCCAGTTTTTATTCATCCTTTTTATATCTGCTTCTATTTCCCGGCGTAATGTGTTCTTCGGCCTTCCTCTTTTCCGCTTCCCTTCTGGATTTCAACTTAGCGATTGTCTCCTGATGCACATTGGTGATTTCCTTAATATATGTCCTGTCCACTTCCAACGTTTTTTCCTAATTTCCTCTTCAGCTGGAAGCTGGTTTGTCCTCTCCGACAAAACGCTGTTGCTGATAGTGTCCGACCAGTGAATGTTGAGTATTTTGCGTAGACAACTGTTTATAAATACTTGTACCTTCTTGACGATGGATTTAGTCGTTCTCCACGTTTCAGCTCCATACAGTAGGACTGTCTTGAGGGATATTACTATACTAAGATAATAACACTGATGACCGGTTAACGAAATTTATAGTATCGTTAGATTGGATAATCGAGCAATCCGCTATACACAGACTAGATTACATTATGTCAAATAACCGATTCACAACCAAAATAGAGAACTAGAGTAATGTTTATGATTACTTAACCATCGTCTAGTTGTTACTGTACTACAGAACGAAGATCGATATTACTTGAAAAGACTTAAGAAGGAGCGTTTATTATGCACCAAACAAAAATCGCTAACTGATCGAATTGGTGTGCAAAAGTTACAGTTAGATGTATGATCATTCATAATTTTTGGTGGGTTGACAGCTAGCCTTGAAACTAGTTTGGTCTGGTATTTAGTTGCAACAGAAACTGAAATCATTTTGTTTAAATCAGTCTGTTTGAACCACCAATTTTTTGGCCACTAAAACATAAGACAGAACTGGGGTATATGAGAGTATGATCAGAGTCCAAATAATTACTCCAAAAGAAACAATAGTCTTGTACATAGTCACGTCAATGGTAGCTGACTGCGATACGACTAATCTGAGTCCATACTTGAGTTGCAGATAAAGGTCTCCAGGTAGTACATTGACGGTGACTGTGCCGATAGTCAGTGCTAGTGAAAAACAGGCTATAGCCTGCGCAAGGTTGCAAAGACGGTCACCGTTATCTGACCTGTGATCAACAAGTCACCCAAATGACTCCATTCTGTACCTAGACCCCGAACATTGCTTTCAAGTCTCCGGATAGTACTACAATATCTGTCTAGTGCACTTTCTGTAGAGGAACATTTAACTGATAATTAAACCCATCTTTGATCACATCTGTGCTGAAATCTATTGGGGCGTAGGGAGAGATGACGTAAAGATATCGTATCTCACACCGATATCTTCTCACTATGATGAGCTTTCTAGTCTAACAACACATAACTGACTATTTATGGGGATCCAGTCGATTAGTGGTGCCTCAGCTTTAGTGCAACACCGGAACTAGCGAAACCAAATGGCATAGGGTCCCCGGATAAACATTAATCATCCACGTCTAACTGAAAGCAAAACTGTGGTAAAGCTCTTTTCTAAAAACAATTTGTAAGTAGTAGCAAAGTAGAATAGAAGGACATCAAAAATTAATAAATATACAGATTTTATTTAAAATTAACTAACTGAATACACCTGCAAATTCATAGCATATCGTTTCAAATTAATATGCATAGATGAACAATCTAAACGAGAGAAGAAAATTTGTCGGGTTATCTATTCATTTCTCAATATTCAATAAAAATGGATTTCCCTGATAATTTAATGAGCGAGTGGTGCATAACCTTCGCTGACTTCATTTTAATTACTTGAAGCTAACCATATATGTATTCTACGAACACATCACCGTAGCGAAACCCCACTTGTCCAATGAAAAAAATAATGTGAAAGTGAGAGTTTGGAATGACATCCTTAGTAATAATTATGCTTTTATATGAAGCACTCGTCTATTAAATGAACGGAAAAACAACCAACAGTGCTAGGTACTGCACACATATTGAGATGCGAATGAGCCAAAAATTTTGCGGACGCGTATCCTATCTCAATGAAAAATGAGACTATTTTAAAAAGCGGTAGCTAAACAAGACAAAAGAAGCCGAATTATTTCAACATCAATCTAATGCAGTTCTCATGCACGAACTTGTTCACCTTTACAATATATTTATTCTAACGCATTATGCAAGCATGCTAACCTATGAGTTTAATATTGGGTTTTAACGTAGACTTGACATTCAGCTGATGAAACTTACGGAAATACTTAGTTTTCTACTTTTTGTTTGACTCGAAGGAGCATTTCTTAAAGTTATTTTCTTACCACAATACACTGCAACCACATGAAATAAATCACGAGATTTCACGTTGCTTGTAAAGATATTTAATATAGATGAGAAATCATACTACTACGATAATAAAAACAGGTGTTTTTCTTTTTACTTTTTAACAAAAATATACACTTTGACAGTCTTTTAGAAAAATGCATGGAAAGAATGATCATAC